TTATTTATATTTTCTAAACAGTGATATTTAGCGGGAACTACTACAACTTTTTTCTTATTTTATACCTTATCAACAGAACTTCAACGTTTTCTGTTTCAGTTGTCGTAACCTGATTGTCTCCATATTTCCACTTGTTATCAGTATTGGCAATTCTCCTTTCATCATTCTGTCTCTGCTCTACACTCGGTAATTTCCGTCAAATACAACTTTAAGTACTTCTTAGTTTACTTTCAGTTAGATTATATCAGGAAGAACAAAAAGGCACAATAGCATGACGAACAGTACGCAAATAACTCGTACATTGGAGAGAGAAACTTGAGACGTTTCGGTCCGACTTGGATCATTTACAAAATGTGACTTTGTAAATGGTCTAAGTCAGGTTATTTGTATATAGATTATATCAAGTTTCCCTTCATTTATAATGTCCCTCAGTTCGTCTTTTTTTTGACTACTTTCTCTAAATTCTAATATAAAATCTTCAGAGGTGTATTCATATCGTTATTTCCATACTTTTATATATGTTTTAGGGAGGTTACCATCTATCATCTGCTCGTTCTTTGATGAACCATTTAATAGGTCGGTGTCTCTCTTACTCTATGTAAAACTATTTTTCTCTTTCATTCCATCTCTTGCTAGTTTTAAAATCCTTATTTTCACTTTATCCCTCTTTAAATGGTCGTGGTTAAATTGTTTAATCGTACAGAATTCCAGTTTCATTGTGTATTTAGCTTCCTTTCGGTATTTTTTTTTTCTTATAATTGATTATATAGATCATATTCAGTGGTATTTACTCATTTTTTTCTCATTTTCCAACTCGCATTATAACTCGCATTAAATTTTTTTAAAGCATTTTGTCATCTCATTCGTGTGTTGCTCTTTTTTTTTTTTTTGGAAACTGGGGGGGAGGGGGGTTCCTGTTTATATTTTATATCTATTTTTGACACGGCCAGAAAACAATAACCATTTTTGTGTCTACAGTTTTCCTCAATTTAAAATTACTTCTTGCAGTAAATTCCTTCGGTTGTACCACCTGATGTTCTGTCTCTTCAGTAATTTTAGCATAACTCTTTCCACTTATAACTTCATGCATCTAGTCAAACCTTCTTCTCTTCAAAACCTTAATTAACATCTTCAGAAATATTACGAGTTATCGTCACCTATACTATAGTTCTATCTTAAGCTTACTTATTGCTGTTTTTTACTTATCTGAACCTCTAATCTTCTCTTAATAATCTTTAATTTTAGCCATTTCCTCATCTATCTCTCATTTCATTATTATATTACTCTTTCTTTTAGTGTTTTCTGCATTTTAAGTACTTTATTTCCGTCAGTTTTAAAAATCACATTCTCCATATTTGTTTGTCAAGTCCTTCTGACCTTGCCTGATTTTGTTAAAATTTAGTCAATCTGTCCATCACTCCAATGAATTTCGTTTCTTGTTGACGTACAAGTATTGCCATGTTTGTTACTGGTGCCGCCTGGAACGCTGTAACTAAAGGGGCCACTCTACTGATGTTTTCACTGTTATATTTTATAAAAACTTTGTTCTTCAATCATTTTCTAAATTAATTTTTAAGAGCACGACCAAACTTGTCTGGTTCTATCCCCTCAAGACATAGATTTCCTATTACCCAAGAATGTGAAGGCTTATGTACTCTCTCAAAGTCAAATTGTGTGTCACATGAGGGGTCAGGAACCATTTATCTATAACATAACAGTGGTGCACTGCAGGTCTACTGGGCCACGCTAGGCAGGTTCAACATCCACTTGTGTACCCGTCCAACTTATTTGTAAAGATACGGTAGCTTCCCCAAGATCTCGCTTCATTGGCGCTACTCCAGAGTATTCCACTCCTTGACAACTGTTAACAAAAAAAGTGTTTTCCTATATCCTTTCTAAACTTAAATGTCCCCAGTTTGTAACATTCCTCCGAGTCATGTCTTGATTAAACATTTTCATAATGTTGCTTATATTCCCTTTCATTATTCCCAATTTCCCATTTGAACACTGCAGTCACATTCCCCGTAAAATTACATGTCTTTCCAGAGTGCAAATTTAATGTCTTTAAGCTATTCTTGGTAGAAGACTCCTGATACGTCGGATTTTCATCATTACCCCCCCCCCTCTCTCTCTCTCTCTCTCTCTCTCTGACCCCTTGTGGATTTAGCGTTTAGTTTTCAGTGATAATCCTTCCCTGTATATTTTTCCAAAGCATTTATGTCCAATCTTTAATAGGAAGACCAGAACTGGTCAACATAATCTGAAGGATGAGACCTTACTAAAGATACACAAATTTGAAGTATAACCTGTGGACTTGTTATAAAGCGAATAATTCAATTTGCTTAATTCAGTCGGAGGCAAAAACAATGACAATAATGACGACAGTGACAGTGTCAACAATGACAACTTCTGTACTGTTACTTTTCGATTTAGATTCCTGCTAATCGGAACTACTAGATCCTTAACGCTTTAAATTTGTTTTAGTTTATAAGTCCCACAGTTATTTTCTTTTCCTTAGATTAGACCCTTGTATTATTCCACATTAAATTGCGCCTGCCAGTTCTCTGACTAATCCATCAGCCTATCTAAATCATACTGAAACTCTCTGGTGTCCACATCAGAAATTATTTGACGGCCTATTTTAGTGTCATCGGCAAACTTGCTTATGTCGTTATTACCTCGTCATTGTAGTGTATTATAAACAACAATGGTTCCAGTACTGACTCCTGTGTAACGCTTGTAACGAGTTCCCATTCTGATTTTGTAATCGATTTATGCCACCAGGCCACGGTGCCCCGTGGCCTGGAGCCCCGTGGCCTGGAGGCAAAAACCTCTCGCTTCACACTGTGAGAGTCCGGGTTCGATTCCCGGCAAAAGGGTGGAAACATTGGGTGTTTCCTTGCACCTCTTGTCCATATTCACCCATCAGTAATAATGGGTACCTGGGTGTTAGTCGACTGGTGTGGGTCGCATCCCGGGAAAAAATTTACCTAATTTGCCCAAAATGCTCTGCATAACAAGCGGCTTTCTATGTAGTTATTGTGGTATGTTATTGATGTCAGCTAGGACTGTGCACCTTGTAAATGTACTTGTAGAAATAGATATTAATATTATCATCAGTTAACTACGACTCGACGCAATTTCCTCTATTCCAGGTGCCGCTAGTTGCTCTTCACTCTCCTGTGTGGAATTTATGATAGTTCACATGAGCATCGGAAACCATGGACACGTGATAATGCACATGTGAGTAACCATGTACACATGATGGTTCACACGAGTGTCACAATTCACATGGATGTCAGGAACCATACACTCGTGTGGAAAATATTAAATATTCTAGACTAAAATTTATTGTTTGAATTAAAATATTAAAATACGTAGTATATAAAATACATGATAACCAGCCACGAATGGAGCCGATCACCTAGCTGAAATTAAAATGAAAATCAATTTATATATTTTTACTCAAATATCTTCATTCGCACTACTGTGAAAACTGAAAAGTCCAGTGAACATAGGACACCTCCTGTCATATATTTCCTAGTGCAACATTCAGTATCAATGTAGTTAAATAATTTGTGTATGTGAACAGATTCCTTCGCGTCATGTCGACTCTACAGGCGTAAACAGCATTCATAACTAACCAAGACGGTGTGTACCTAACGTGTCATGCACGAGTGACTCTTTGGGTAATTCCTGAGATGTGTACGTGTCATGTCTCATACACGGGTCTCTCTTCGGGGTAATTCCTGACAATTGCTCATCCACCTGCCCTGGAAGGACTCCAGAAGTGTGATACAACCCCTGGTGACCGCAGTAGGTGAAGATAGGCAGGCGGACTGAAGAAATGTCTTTTTACGAGGAGATCCATGAACATAACTTGCGTAGATGAATGAGACCTATGTGCAACACATATTTATTGTGGAAACGTTTCATCTGCCAGTGGCTATATTAGTCCTGTGCATGCAAAGAGTACGTAACCTTATTCGGCGCATGTACACACCCTCATTTACAGGCTATCTCCCCCAACCAGCGAACCAGGTTGCTAAGAGTTAATGGGGCCCCGTCGTTCAACTAGTGACCAGGTTCTAGCCAATAAGAAGATGGATAAGATAAGATAAGATTTCGTTCGGATTTTTAACCCCGGAGGGTTAGCCACCCAGGATAACCCAAGAAAGTCAATGCGTCATCGAGGACTGTCTAACTTATTTCCATTGGGGTCCTTAATCTTGTCCCCCAGGATGCGACCCACACCAGTCGACTAACACCCAGGTACCTATTTGCTGCTAGGTGAACAGGACAACAGGTGTAAGGAAACGTGTCGAAATGTTTCCACCCGCCGGGAATCGAACCCGGGCCCTCCGTGTGTGAAGCGGGAGCTTTAGCCACCAGGCCACCGGGCCACCTCAGAGGTTATGTGGGTACCACTCTCCTGTCTGCCCTTGTCATTCCCATTCTAGAGCTGGTTGAAGCACGATCTGCTATCTTGTGGCTTCTATTTCTGCCTTGCTTACCGTGGAGTGCACTATACTTATCACTGTACATAGTGTACATATTGCTGTTCTAAATTGGTGAAGGATACTATAAGTCTAAACTTTTTCTGCTGTGTTTATTTTGCTCCCATTACACCCGGGATAACAGGCCATTTGGAATCCTGGGTTGTAATAGTCCAATACATAGAAAAACACTGAAAGGAGTGAAGAGGGAATTTCAGTTGATCAGAACTCGTCCTAAAGATAAACTTTTCAGATTAGCAACTGTGCTACGTCTTTATTGTGAAATGTTGGTGAAACATACCAATGTTATAAATGGTATATAATATCGACGAGTTGAGTAAAAAACATGGGGCAACACTTGGGAATCTTTTAACGAAAAGTTTCGCCTGCGTTGTAGACTTCATCAGTCGATTACAGAAACATCAGCGCTGGTGGTGGACGAAGCAGAGCAGTGGAGAGGCAGCTGATGTAATCAATCAGCCTTCGAGCAAGATGGTAACTTTCTTAGCCTATTGCATTAGCAGGTGGCCAGAGGTTAATATTCTGGAGAGTGAGATGCAGCAGTTTGAGACGAGGGCTGCTGAGGCATGCATCAGAGGGCTGAGGATTAGTGCAACCTGCAATCATTGAAAAAGTCCTCAGGTAACACAGGTTAACTTTGATCCGTTGTCTAGTGTTAACTTCCAGAGGTATCATAATTCACATGAGCGTCAGGAACCATGTGCTCATGCGATGCTTCACATGACAACCGGAAATCAAGTATAACTATGTGGTAGTTGTCATGAGCGTCAGGAGCCAATTACACGAGGCAGTCTTATTTAACCAGAGGTTTGATAAGTTGGAGGAAGAAGGATGGATAAGGATGGATTGTGGAAGAAGGATAGGTGGGGTGAGGAAAGGGGGAAGGTAATAAACGTAAGTGGCTCAACCACTTCGGCGCTCATTAATAAAGGTGTACGTGATGTGTTACTCATATGAAGTATACCACACCACCCTTCAGAGGCACACGTGTGTACAAGTTGGATACAAGCATGACGGTGAATTGGCAGTAGGTACAGTTTTGCTATTGTCCTTTTTTTGAGCAGGCGGCAAGTTACTCGGGTTGGTTGCAAGAGGCTTGTTGGAGTTGGTGGTCGGCTGATCTGCTCTGATCTGCCATAGGTGTTCAAATGTTACTTAGATGTAGGGTATTCACAGTATGGTTGGTTTTATCTGACTTGAATATAGACTGGCTCTGGTGGTACCCAGTCTTCTAAATCTTCAGGGTGATCACTCAGTATTTTTGGTCTTGGGAAGTCCTCCTTGTGAATGAAACTTCGGACACTATAGTTTGTCTAGTCCGACATTTATTGCTTCGATCTTCTGTTGGAAGTGCAGATCTTCCATTCTGATTCTGTCCCTCAGTCTGGTGCCTGTGATGAAGCGGAGTGCCTTCTTCTGGATTCTTTGTAAATGTAACATGTTTTTCGTTATTGACATGGATACTCAAGGATATACAAGCATAGGCCTTATCTTATATAAGTGCTTTTTTGATATGAGAGGGAGCCTGATTAATTAAACCTGTATAACTGATTGAGGCGGACTTTTGCTAAGGTTACCTTTTTGGTGACGTGTGATGTGGATTGGAGTAATCTCTTTCGTAGCTCAAGATCTTCTTTCGGTTTTTGATGGTGATAGGTGTACCTTTGATGGCGATACCTCCATTGTTTTCATTTGCTATGGTATAACATCCGACGGTGCTAATGAGAACCTTGTCAGGATTGGTCGTGATTCTCTATTTCCTCTTCAAGATCGCTGTTTTTCGTAATTCCATGTTCATCTTTTCTATCAACCTTTTGTGCCTGTTCTTTCCAGATGCAGGGGGCGGATGATACTACCTGGATAACATTGTTGTTAAATTGAGTAATGATGGTAAAGTTGTATTCGGACTGAGGGAGATAATTTACATAAACATTGAAGAAAATAGGGCTTAAACATGAACCCTGTGGCACTCCAGATGTTGTAATAAAGTTGATAGAATTACCGACAATATGTAAAGTAAAAGGACACAAGTGCAACTAATGTGACATTTTTATTGTGGCAATGTTTCGCTCTCCAGGAGCTTTGTCAAGCCGTTACGGCATGACAAAGCTCCTGGAGAGCGAAACGTTGCCACAATAAAAATGTCACATTAGTTGCACTTGTTTTCTTTTACTTTACTCCAGCTGTTGACGAGAATGAATCTACCGTCTTGCAGTTGAGGGTGGGGATGATGCTACTACTTGTTAGGAAGTTATATAAGAGTCTGAGAAAGGTCCAGTTGTGATCTAGAAGGTTTTGCCACAGACTATCAAAAGCTTTGTGAACATCCCGAGTCGCAATTAGGGCAAGATTGCCTTGTTTCCTCAGGCTGTCCACAGCATCGAAGATGTTATTGGTTGAGTGTTGGGCTCCTCAGTGGGTCCTAAAACCAAACTGGTTTTCAGTGAAGAGGTAATTGAAATTCATGTTAGAGATAATTTTTTTCAGACTTTGCCAGTAACTTCATATAAGGAAACAGGTATGTAGTTCTGGCTTATGTTTGTCTTTATTGGGTTTTGCAATGAATATCATCCTCGCTTATGTCGCTTGTGTCACAGGAGAAGTGTCCAGAGGCCAGGATGGCATTGTAGATGTTTACCAGAGACAAATTTCGGTTTCAGGGTAGGTACTTTGCTTTGCTGTTATGCCTGAGGGGCCAGGAGCTTTATTTCTCATTCTGTCTATGACTTGGCACATCTCTTAGGGTAACTGGTCTAGTAAGGGGGTGGTTATCTTCGGGTGTTCTTGTGTCAGTTAATGGTATTGATTGGAAGTCTGCCCGATCATCTCTCCATTGGTTAACCCACTGGTAGTAGTTATTGTTGAATCTCCTGTTATCATTGTGTGGGAATATTCTCCCACACTTCGCCCATCAAATTGGCTTTGTCTTGCGGGTCTTCCAGGTTGATACACTTCCTCATCGCCTTCGTTGGTGAAGGAGTATGTTGAACGTGGTCTTTACCCCAAAGAGCTGGCGAATCTTACCACAGAACTGTTCGTGTCGATGTTTGTATTGGTTAGCCTGGAGAGCAAGATATCTCCATAACTCGCTTTTGTGCTGGGTGATCAGGTTGATTAATTCCCTCCTCATCCCCTGCAGTATACAAGTGTGTACTGTCCCAATTGGTAGTGCCTCCTACACTTTGATAATTTTTCATGCTATCCTTAATTTCCCTGGTGGTAAGTACTGTTTTGTTCGCAGCATGCATGGGTGACATCAGAGATTCCTACGTGGAGGAAGCTGATTGCCTCGTTCATTACAGTTGAGGGCTGGTTCTCAAGCACAACAGTATGGTCATTGCTTAGGTGGTCCCTGAAGGGGTCAAAGCCCAGGGTTTCTAGGTTTTGATGGAGTGGGTACCTGGCATGGCGAAGTCTGGAGTTTCATTATGACAGTGATGTGGTCCGATCCAACATTTCCACCAGGGTAAACTCTGCAATGAAATGCGTCTGTCTCTCTTGGTAAGGACTACATCAGGTGTCCCCGGGTGAGGGGGCCCACATATGACTTGAAGAATGGGCCTTGGAATGATAGATTTCTTGCTGACATTAGATTGAGTAGATGTTTCCCTTATGATCACCTTGTGGTCGGGCGGAGCCGTTTTTGAAGAGCGGGGTGGTGGGCGTTAGCCCCCTCCAAGTACTGTGGGTACATTTCTGAGTATCCGATGTAAGAGGATGGACTTTATGTATGGTTGTCTAAGAGAAATATCCTGTTCCCACCATAGTTGCCCATAGGAAGTGGTCAGTTCCATTGCCTAGATGTCCTCGTCAACGTAGATGTTACGGAAAGCATATCCTAGTTTCACTATTTATTTATTTATGTCTTTGCAAATAGTACATTGAGATAATGTATTTACGATAATGGGTTGCAATGCAAAGAAAGCCTCTGTTATGCCTAGGCATTATGGGCCGACTTAACATTATTGACTTACCGACTACTTAACACTAAGAATTATATCAAAGTTGTACAGTAGAATATTAATTATCATACTTGTACAGTAGATTATTAAATATAAGTGAATCTAATTTATATAAGCCACAAGATATTCATATATTCAAAAATACTTTTTGTTAAAACAATGATTCAACTGTATTCCTGTCAACAATGGATAAAAGGTTCAAAAGAAATTGTTGAAATTATGATATGGGAATACATAATTGAGTATGTGAGTACCGAGTATTTAGCATTTAGTCCAGGGTGATTAAGTGGCTTTTGAGAAGTCTTAAATTGATTTTCAGACCGGGTTACTTTAGTATCTTCTGGTAATGAATTCCATATTTTGGGGCCCTTTATGTGCATAGTTTTTACACGGTGTGATATGGACACGGGGTACATCAATAAGAGATCTGTCTTGTGTTATGGTCATGAAACATAATGAAACAGCTATCCCGCTGTCGAGTCCTCTAGATTTCTCTATTGTTGAGTTACATCGGTGCTTAATATGTTGGTCTGGTCTGACAGATGTCTCGTTCAGGATGATGTCCGGGTTGTGGCTGCAGAGTTCAACTTCTAGGAGGTAATGGTTGTTGAAGTGGCAGATGTTGAGTTGTAGAATTAATTGTAATCCCCATTATTACTTCTGTTTTGCTTGGTTACAGCGTGTGGGTCACTGATTTCTGAGATAATAGCTACTTGTTGAATGAGCTCTCGCTGCTTGATTCATCGGTGGGGAGGTGGTAGTCCTGTGTGATTTTCTGCTACCAACTTGCTTGATCTTCATCGTTGCTGCTGACACTGACATGTCTGAATCATCCTCTGTCACCAAGGATTCTTCAGACTCTGCATTCGATATCTGCGGTGATTCTTCTTGCTCTACGATATCAGTGGTCACAACTGTCCTCGTCAATTGGTGACAATGGGGCCAGAATGTAGATTTGTTCGAGAAAAAGATTCTTTGCTCGGTTGTCTCCGATTGGGTCATTAGTAGGACCTGAAAGGTTCTTTGGTGCAGCCTGTACAGCGGTAGATTCTGCAGCAGTCTGGTGCTGGTGCTGTGACTGGTGTCATTTCCATGGTGGCTTATGTCCGTTTCCACAGGGCCTTCTGCTATAGTTGGGACTTGGAGGGGGGGATGCTGGGAGTGTTATTCCCCGTGGCCTGGGGGGGGGGAGGATTACTCAACAGTGTACTTTGTTTGGGATAATGAAGGGGCGAAGTTGTTTGCTGTTAACAGGTCACTGAGAATAGATATGTAGAATAGGTGGTCATTTCCCGCTATTCTTTCAGCACTGAAGCCGACCTAGAGGCAGGAAGATTTAGAGTGGAGTCAGGAAACATTGGGGGTGGCGGCTTAGAGGCGACTTTCACGTTATTCGCCTGTTTCTTATCTTAGAGCAGTTTATTGATTGCGTCTTTCCTCCCGGGGCAGATTGGGGAAACAGCACGGTGCTTCTCGTTGATGGGGATATAATGTACTTGGGATTGTTTGTTGGGACACTCCCTATTTCCATGCTTGCCAGAGCAGAACTGCAAACTTCTGTTTGGCTGTTGCAATTGTTTGTGTTACGTTTGATATTGACAAATCTTTCCCTAGAGATCTGGTCGGGTGTGCAGCTGGTTCCAAAGCATACCATTCCTTTGTCACACATTTGCTTAGCACCTTCTGGTGTCTCGAGTTTCAGAAAATGTTTTTATTGGAATTTGTGTGTGTGTGTGTGTGTGTGTGTGTGTGTGTGTGTGTGTGTGTGTGTGGTTGGGCCAGTATAATGGTTGGGGACCCGTTGATGGGGAGGACGGGAGACGACGGTGTGGAAGAGAGGACCGGGGGGTGAGAAGCGATGGGGGAGGAGCTGTTGAGCAAGGTCTTGTAGATATAGAAGCTTGCATGTGAGATGCAGATTGGAGAACAGTAGGTGACGAGGTAGGGACCTCGGCGTCCAGGATTGCAAAAGTTAGATAGAGGTGACTGGAAGGTGTGACTGCAGGAGATAGTGGGAATTGGGACCCCAGAGGTTGGGAGTCTGTTAGTAACTCAAGAATAAGAAATACGGGGAAGTCTTCCCTGGAGGTGTTGATGAGACTGCCATGGCATAAGTAAAGCCTTCTGCCTCTTTGAGACTATGGATTTCAGGTTCATTCAAGTAAACTTGAGAACGACAAGAATAGGATGGATGAGCTTCATGACAATTAAGGCAGGAGGGAGGTGGACCAAAAGATGTATTGGTATGTTCATCAGCACCACAGACTGGGCATTCAGCCATGGACCTGCAATATTTTGCCAGATGGCCAAAACGCCAGAAATTTCTTCACTGTTGTGATGTAGGGGTCACATGTCAGACTCGTAAATGGTGCCCCGCAATATAAACCGATTATGGAAGCTCACGGCAGTCAAAAGTTAAGCGAGTTATATTGCATGGGTAGCGCCACCTCCTGCCGGCAGGCAGTACATGTGTGTGTACTTTAAGGATCGGGAGGTCTTGGATCTCAGGCTGTTCCAGAATGTCATCACCACATGTTTGGAAATTGCTTTGAACAATGGTATGGGGTAGAATGACTGTACCACTACAAGAATTGAGAGATTGGTGTTTTTCAATTGCTACAGGAATGGCATACAGTAGACTGTCATTTAGCACAGTTTATTTGGCACGATTTGGGTATAGCACGATTGAAGAATTGTGGCACAATTTTATGTAACACGTCTTACCTGGAGTTTACCTGGAGAGAGTTTCGGGGGTCAACGCCCCCGCGGCCCGGTCTGTGACCAGGCCTCCTGGTGGATCAGCGCCTGATCAACCAGGCTGTTGCTGCTGGCTGCACGCAAACCAACGTACGAGCCACAGCCCGGCTGATCAGGAACTGACTTTAGGTGCTTGTCCAGTGCCAGCTTGAAGACTGCCAGGGGTCTGTTGGTAATCCCCCTTATGTGTGCTGGGAGGCAGTTGAACAGTCTCGGTCCCCTGACACTTATTGTATGGTCTCTTAACGTGCTAGTGACACCCCTGCTTTTCATTGGGGGGATGGTGCATCGTCTGCCAAGTCTTTTGCTTTCGTAGTGAGTGATTTTCGTGTGCAAGTTCGGTACTAGTCCCTCTAGGATTTTCCAGGTGTATATAATCATGTATCTCTCCCTCCTGCGTTCCAGGGAATACAGGTTTAGAAACCTCAAGCGCTCCCAGTAATTGAGGTGTTTTATCTCCGTTATGCGCGCCGTGAAAGTTCTCTGTACATTTTCTAGGTCGGCAATTTCACCTGCCTTGAAAGGTGCTGTTAGAGTGCAGCAATATTCCAGCCTAGATAGGACAAGTGACCTGAAGAGTGTCATCATGGGCTTGGCCTCCATAGTTTTGAAGGTTCTCATTATCCATCCTGTCATTTTTCTAGCAGATGCGATTGATACAATGTTATGGTCCTTGAAGGTGAGATCCTCCGACATAATCACTCCCAGGTCTTTGACGTTGGTGTTTCGCTCTATTTTGTGGCCAGAATTTGTTTTGTACTCTGATGAAGATTTAATTTCCTCATGTTTACCATATCTGAGTAATTGAAATTTCTCATCGTTGAACTTCATATTGTTTTCTGCAGCCCACTGAAAGATTTGGTTGATGTCCGCCTGGAGTCTTGCAGTGTCTGCAATGGAAGACACTGTCATGCAGATTCGGGTGTCATCTGCAAAGGAAGACACGGTGCTGTGGCTGACATCCTTGTCTATGTCGGATATGAGGATGAGGAACAAGATGGGAGCTAGTACTGTGCCTTGTGGAACAGAGCTTTTCACCGTAGCTGCCTCGGACTTTACTCTGTTTACGACTACTCTCTGTGTTCTGTTAGTGAGGAAATTATAGATCCATCGACCGACTTTTCCTGTTATTCCTTTAGCGCGCATTTTGTGCGCTATTACGCCATGGTCACACTTGTCGAAGGCTTTTGCAAAGTCTGTATATATTACATCTGCATTCTTTTTGTCTTCTAGTGCATTTAGGACCTTGTCGTAGTGATCCAGTAGTCGAGACAGACAGGAGCGACCTGTTCTAAACCCATGTTGCCCTGGGTTGTGTAACTGATGGGTTTCTAGATGGGTGGTGATCTTGCTTCTTAGGACCCTTTCAAAGATTTTTATGATATGGGATGTTAGTGCTATTGGTCTGTAGTTCTTTGCTGTTGCTTTACTGCCCCCTTTGTGGAGTGGGGCTATGTCTGTTGTTTTTAGTAACTGAGGGACGACCCCCGTGTCCATGCTCCCTCTCCATAGGATGGAAAAGGCTCGTGATAGGGGCTTCTTGCAGTTCTTGATGAACACAGAGTTCCATGAGTCTGGCCCTGGGGCAGAGTGCATGGGCATGTCATTTATCGCCTGTTCGAAGTCATTTGGCGTCAGGATAACATCGGATAGGCTTGTATTAATCAAATTTTGTGGCTGTCTCATAAAAAATTCATTTTGATCTTCGACTCTCAGTCTGGTTAGCGGCTTGCTAAAAACTGAGTCATATTGGGACTTGAGTAGCTCACTCATTTCTTTGCTGTCATCTGTGTAGGACCCATCTTGTTTAAGTAGGGGCCCAATACTGGGCGTTGTTCTCGATTTTGATTTGGCATAGGAGAAGAAATACTTTGGGTTTCTTTCGATTTCATTTATAGCTTTTAGTTCTTCCCGCGATTCCTGACTCCTAAAGGATTCTTTTAGCTTAAGTTCGATGCTTGCTATTTCTCTGACCAGTGTCTCCCTGCGCATTTCAGATATATTGACCTCTTTTAGCCGCTCTGTTATTCTTTTCCGTCGCCTGTAAAGGGAGCGCCTGTCTCTTTATATTTTACATCTACTCCTCCTTTTTCTTGCGGGAAAGAAAGAAAACTTCCCTTTTCCTCAAATGGCCGCCTTGTGGATCAGCTGGGGAGACCTCCCGCCGTCCACATCCACCTCCCCCCCCCCGACACCACCTCACCATCAAAGCATTCGTACTTCATACGTGTCCAGTCCAACTTTTCTGCCACAAGATTGTGATTGTGAATTGTGTTTTGATCTTTTAATTGCTATATCGTATATCTGCCAAGCAATCATGACACCCAGTAAACATATCAGTGTTGCTCAAAGTGGCAAGAAAAAGTGTAAGCATTTAAATCTTAGAATTAACGACGGAAACAAAGATATTAGACAAGACATCCTATGGCCATAATGAAGTGTTACTTTGTACACATAAAAAGAGGTAAACATAAGTTTGTGTGACTGACTTACCGAATGACACTTACTGACTGAATGACTGACTTACTTGACTGACTTACTGATCAACATGGCATAGGAACGCCTTGCTGATACTATGATCAGAAAGATATTCTGAAGACTTCGGATGTAGAGTGAAAAACTTAGTCCATTGTGTACTATAATGCATAGTATGTAAAATGTGGAAATTTATTTGGTCCCTAAAGTTCCACAGGACAGATACGGCATACAAAGGGGGTCCCAGAATGGCCGTAATGGAACAGCTGAGCTGGGTGGCCCTTAAACCCACCCAAACAAAAAGCGTTCTCCCCGAGTTGGCGTGGTTGGTAAGCACTATTTAAGTTATAGATTTACCCTTCAGGGAAGGAGTAGGTAATTTTACTGGTAGTACACTAATATTAGGTTTACTAAGGCAACTGTAGATAATAATGTAGACCTAAAACCTTAACATAGGTAGTAATAGGCCGATAATGTAGGCAAACACTAGGTTAAGTTAGCTAGGGAGAACTGGCAGCCCTAGCTTGAAGGATGAGGTGCGGGTCTGGAAGACACGAGCTCTCCCTTCTGTAGACAGACACCAACTGGACAACACGTCCCGTGATCAACAGACGGCGCCCCCCAATGTGTCTTCACATTTGAGACCTGGGGAAATCTGGTAGAGGCACCTCGATGTACCGTA